TTACATTTACATTTACATTACCATTACCATTACCATTACCATTACCATTACCATTACCATTACCATTACCATTACCATTACCATTACCATTACCATTACCATTACCATTACCATTACCATTACCATTACATTACCATTCCATTGCATTAACATTAACATTTACATTTGCATTTACATCTACATTTACTTTTACCATTACCATTACCATTACCATTACCATTACCATTACCATTACCATTACATTACATTACCATTACATTACATTAACATTAACATTTACATTTGCATTTACATTTACATTTACTTTTACATTTACATTACGTTACACTACATTACATTACATTACATTAGCACACATACGTTAAGAGTGCTTACCTACAGATGTACATGTGTACATACATACGTAAAGTACATGTTTGCATACATACTGCGCAGAATGAATCACTCAAGCACGTATCACAACATACTTTCGGATTGCCACACCTTGCACCCCGAGATCCCAAGCCTAAGCTTCTTGCATACCATGGGCTATTTAAAGCCTCATGCCCCGAGCCCTCCCACGTCCTAAACGCTACGCCGTAAACCCCAAAATGCAAACATCTGCAAACCTTGTTAAACGCAAAACTCCTAAGCCCTAAACCGTGCTGATAGGCCGGCTCCGCCAAAGAAGCCTGAGCTAGAGCACATCGACATGGACAGGGCTGTTAGCAGTCTTCATGGCTTCATACTTCGCGATTTTGAGTTTGTGAGTTCGTTTAGTTCGTGAAGCATTCCGGCGGTTCTCTCGGCTTCTTGCTGACTTGTGGTTGCACGGTTATAAGCTATAGGGTTCAAAAGTCCCGGGCTTCAGGTCTTCAATGTTTAGTTCCAAGAGCTTCATGGTTGTAAGGTTGAAACAAGTCTCGTGGATATGGAGGCTTCTGCATTGAGATCTTCGGGCTTTACAACGGCCGTCGGCAACCTGACTGCTTTTCAGTTTAGGGCTTAGGGTTGCTAAACCCTGAGCCATGCCATGTGGTTCAAGTCCAGCTTTTGGGTTTCGCAGGTTGGAGGTTATTGATATCTTATGGTTGTTGATGTTACGGTTCGGGGCTCTGCATTTAGGGTCAAGGTCATGGGGTTGGAGCACCTACAGCTCGCTTTTCGCCGGTCGTTTTGTATGGAAGGTCTAGGACCCCCCCTCAGCGCAAGACTACGCAAAACCCCAAATCCAATGACCGAGGATCTTTGTTTGGCAATGGCATTCTTCCAAAGAGTTCCTTACTAGAACGACAGTATAAAAAAAACCCAAGACCCTATTCTCATCGTCACGGCCCCCAAATTGGAGGCATGAATCCCGAGACCCCAAGGCGCAGGCTCAGCACCCCTCCTCAGCCGGAAGGAGCAGCTCATCTTCAAGTGGAACCGGCCGAACAGCCACGGCCGCGGGAACCCAGCTTGAGTGTGATGGCTGGCCGCTGCTGTTTTGTGTATGCGACAGCCATTTTACACTCTAATCTCTAAAACCTCAGGGACTAAACCCTAAGACCCAAATCACTACCTCAAGCCTCCATAGACTCTGAGCCCTAAATCCTAAATCCTGTAGCTCCCTACACTTAAACGAGGTTTCAGTGGACTCTTCTTTGACGTTACGGTGCCTAGGAGTGTGGCATTTACGGGAGTTTCAGAAAACAAGGGGACCTGCCGTCCCGACCCCTTGTCCCCAGACAATTATACGATAACATGCGCCAAGACTCTCTTCGAACCACTGGGCTCCTCAGGGTTCCGGGGTTTTGGTGCATGCCCTTTCCTTGGTTTAAAGGCTTGGGGTTTGCCCGAAACCCTAAGCCGCTAATCCCCAACCGCAAGCCGCAGCTACTCACCGGAGAATTTCGTTTATCGGAGACGAAGAGCTGAAGTGCTTTCGGCAAGACTGAGTAGTGCAAGCCGGATATGCTGGAGCTGCGACAACCAGTGACATTCTTTGCCTCTATGCACGTGTCAGTGTGTCCGGGCCGGAACTTTGCAGTGCATGCCCATCAGGACGTCAGAAATCAGAATGGGAGCGTAGCGATGGCAGAGTTTCTGCGAAGTTCAGCTGGGCTTGCGACCATCGCCCGGCCATCATATGCGCTCGAAGAGGCCACCCCCGAGCGGCAGTGCCGGCTCCACCGCTTCGGTATAACGGGAAACAAGTTACTTAGCGTTGTGCACACCTCTTGCAATCCCGATACAAGCCTGCGGTCACTACAGAACCCGTTTAAAGTTGAGGCTTGAAGTGTCGCCTGCCCACCGAAACAGCAGAAACGCTTTCAACATCTATTCCTGGGATTTTTTGGTAATTAGACTGCGATGTCTGCATAGAGTCCAGGCTGAAGGGAGCTGGCCTTGCAAAGTTCAAGTCTTCAAGATCGAGGTCAGGAGTACTCGTAGTTTTCGAGTATACAACTCAGGCAGAAGTGCCGGGTTTTAACTCAATAGAAAAAGACCGGTGCGAAGATAAGAGCCATAAATCCGAGGCTGCCCCATCGACAGATACGAGGTCTTTCTCGCTGACCAAGACAGAGTTCGACCCTCAGTGGAGATTCTCTGAGAGTTGGGTGGTGGGCTTCTGGTACCATAGAGGTCATCATCCCCCCCACCCCCCCCCACCCCCCCACCCCAATCCGAAGCGCAATCTTTCCAAAATCCCGGAGTGGATTCAAGAAGAAGTGATATTACACGACGAACGTACCGTAAATACC